AAAGCAGCCTAGCACAGCTTGTCCCAGAAATTCACTGGAATTTGGAAGAGGTGATAAACTGATAATGAATTGAAATTTATCTCTAATTTAACTGAAATGGCTTTAAGACTCCAATAATCCACTGGTTAGAAATATCCCTTAGGAATAACTGCTACACGCTGCCTTAGGAATTCTTAAGTTCTGCAGCTGATGACCCAAATAAAAGGGAGGACTCTCAGCCTTGAGGGGTTTCCTTAGGCCATGTCCCAGCCTAAGGCGAGAGTCCCTAACCGTAGCCCCACTGCTCTAAAGACAGCGAGCTTGCCCTCCAGCAGGGCTCCGTTTAAGACCTTGTTGAATCCGATATGTGGTCATGGATGGTCATGTTGACCCTTAATGGCTTGGGACCCCATCTTCCAGTGACTGTATATGTGACACCAGTCACAGTAACCGTGGTCCTAAAGCCCCTGGTCCTTGTCAGAGCGAGTGCATCTGCTACAGCATCCTCTCTCTGTCTCATGCATGCATGCTCCCACACAATTGTAGGGGTAATAACCCTGAAATATAACAATAAATGTTATATGTACTTCACATGTGCATTAGAGACAGAATTGGCAGTGAATCTTACAACTCTACTGGGTACTACATTTCATCTCTGGAGAGAAAACGTTTAATCTGAATAAATAATTTTAAAAGAAATGCATCTTTTTGTGTCCACTCCCACAAGCCACCTACTATGGGCATTTAAAGTTCGTGTGTACATCTTCAGTGTATCCTACATTTCTGTCACACTAATTTTGTAGTAATGTCCAATTCTTCTCAGTTACTTGTAGAATGTAAGAAGCAGAGAGCATTTCTAGAGACTGTGGTGCCAGTGGTATGGTATCCAAACAAATCAAACCTGACTGCTGAAATGAGACGCTATTAATGTCTTATCACCGCTGGGAACAGATCCCCCGAATATCATTACAGTCCAGAGTTATGCAGTATTTGCTCATATAAATTTTGGATTTTTTTTTTCTACTAGAGCTAGAAATCATTTGGATGCTCTTATAATTATTTTTGGAAGAAAGTTACCTTCTGATCCTCCATACGATCCCTGTTGAACAAGTTTGTGTTCATGTTCAATGAGTTATACTCCCAGGAATGAGACCATCTCAATAAATCTTGTCTAGAACTAAATCCCCTGCCTTCAGAACTTTGATGCTATGAACCCACGTCTGCTGTGAACTCAGTTTCAAACAGCTTGGATATCTTTGCAGAGTTAATTATAGTATGGTTGAGTCAACCTGACACAACTTGAATTCAGTTGAAGTTTTGTCACAGAAACCTTAATGAGATTCCAAGATGGGAAGCTCTTTACTTTTTTTTTTTTTTTTTTTTTTCCCAAAAGCAGCAGCAAGTCAGGAGCTCCCAAGGGGCCTGTAATTATAACTTTCAGCGATACTCCTCTTGTGTATATGTCATTCTAACCACATCTTTTCATATAGAACAACCAGTCTTGACTTGTTGGAATAATTTGTTATAATTATATCTTACTATATTTGTATTGACCAGAATATTCAACAGTATGTGATTTTATTATTCCTAAATTGTTCAAATTGCATTTTTACTATGTTTTATTACCCTCAGATACTTCTTTTTTTTTTTTTTTTTTTTTTTAATGAGAGAATCCACTTGGTTTTCTAACTTTTATTTGGCTGTTCTGAACACCTCTTGGTCTTAATCACCTGCAATATCCAGTCACTGTCCCGGTACTTGGAATAGACTATCCAATATGTGCAAAATTTTCTTCTTTAGATGCTATTAGTTTTTAGGATCCGAATAGAAAATAATTTTCAGGGCATAAGTCATGCAGTTCATATGTTCAGCAGCCCTGTTGTTTTCTTTCTATTTGATCTGGCATTCATAACTCATAAAATCTTGAAATCAATAGTGAGTTAATTTTATGTCCTAGTTTATTCTTCTCTCAACAGTAGTATAGTACTAACACAAATAGTTCCTAAACCATGAACAGTAACAAATAATAAACAAAATAACAATAAAACCCATGAGCCTCTTTTAAAAATGCCATTGCCCTAAAGAAACCACTGTTTTATGTTGTTTATTTTCAGTTCTTCAAAAGAGTAAACCTTGAGTAGTAGGGCTGTTGATGCAAAGGATGCAAGTTAAATCCCAGGTTTATGGAGGTAAATAAGGTTTTATGAAGAATCTTTATGACATGATGGATTATCTGAAGTGTTCAGGTACTGTGGAGCTAATTCCTCTGAGAAAGAATCTATCAGACCACAGTCTTGTGTTTCTTCTGAGCAGTATTTCTAAGTTTTATCATTCACATTAAAAATATTATGGAATATGTTTTCTAGGAAGTCTGGCAGTATAATTTCTAGTTCCTAATACGTTATTGAGTCTTAAAAAAAACCAAAACCACAAAAAACCCAAGCAGGTCCACTCTAAGAAAAAGAAGGAAGAAAAGTCTAGTGAATTGGGTAATATCCCTGGGGAGTTGGTTGTGTAGGTGTGGTACAAATGGGAAAAACAGCTCTCCAGAGAGCCGCGTGGAGAAAGGAGCAAAGAGGAACCTTTTTGCCAGGCTGAGGGTGTTGCTGTGGGCTGTGCGGTGGCATTGTTTGGGGGACGTGCACCTGCTCGAACGTTTTCTTTGGCTGGAAGCAGGCAGGCTTGTTGAATGCTCTAATTGCTGGTAGGCATGAAAGGATCGCCTAGAAGATTGCTTCCTAGGCTGTCCTTTGATGTTACATGTGATTTGGAAGTGAAGATTTCTTTTCCTTTATCCATCTTGCTAATAGGTGAGAATAAAATAGCTCAGCTTTCATTCCAGAAGGTACCATGGCACATTGTCCGATGAGCTGTAGCATGGGCCAAAAGGCTCCTTTTATCTTGTGAAGAGATTTGTAAAACACAAGCATAGTCATCACAGTCCGCATTCATAAAGTGCTCTCAGCGACATGTTCAGTTCATTGCAGGCGTCTCTGGGCAGACAAAATACTCTGCTGGGTTTGTCAAATGCTAGGAAACTGACTGGGAATTTTAGACGCAATCCTTCTAAAATATCTAATGAGTCTTGAACCGCAATTAGAACACGTTATTTGTTTAATTCCAGTTATGTTATTTTATAAACACAATAGTTCTAATAAAAAGAAAAGTTTTGCCTTATTTTTCTTCAGAATTTGAACTTTTAAAAGAGGTCTTGTGAGCATTAATCTCCAAATTGCTATCTGAAGGCTTATATGTAAGCCAGCTAGAAATACGAGGGATGACTCCTTCATTTGGACGTGGCTGTGGGTTTTATGGTCATACACAGGGAGAAACCGAGTGTTCTTGGACATATCCCTGCAGGCAATTCTGCAAACCTTGCTTTGATAGGGACCAACTTCTACTGGAGTGTTTTCTTAGGCTTATTCTAATTTAGCCTTCTGAAAAAAGGCATAGAATAACCACAAATTTTGTATTGGGTAGATGTACAATTATGTCTGTTTGTTTTCTTCTTGGTGGATGTTGGTTACATCACTTTAAATATGGCTCTGCGTGCTGTCTCATTTTGGTATGAAGCCTCCAGAACTGCAGCAGAAACTGTACTTTAAAAAAAAAAAAAAAAAGAAGGAAATTAAATGTGTGAGATTAGATTGATTAATTTTGAGAGTTTGGATTAGGTAGATAAAACCCCAGGAAATTCAAAGCTTAGCCTGAGCCGCAGTCCATCAATCAAACTGTTGTGGAAGAATAATGCTAGTAATCATAGAAAGCACAAAAAGATGTGAGAGATAAGAATAGTGCAAATCTTAATAATCCTGACCCATAACTGTGTTCTAAATGAATGTTTTTGTATTTAATTTCCTGAGGAAAGTAATAAAGATGGTTAACAGGGGAGGGAAATAGTTCATGGAAGTTCAGTTAATTGACGGGGCAGCTTTCAAAGCAAAAATAGTTCAGCACCCCACAGATGTGACTGCTCTCAAGAGCCGAGTGGTGTAATTACATATTGTGTTCTACAGTGTCTCACTTTAATCTTGTACTGATGTTTGTAAAAATACATATAATTACTTTTTAAAGGAGAACTTATAAAAGGAGTCTTTTTAATTCAGTAAAATCAGTGAAATACTTCATTTTTGACAGTCATGGGGACTAGAAGCTGATATACTACAGTTTTACTGCAGATGTACACCCACCAAAGTCCCAGGATGACTAATCGCCAGTTTAAAAGCAGATAGTTTACAAACACAATAATGTTTGTAAGGTGAAAGAAAAAGATTAAGATCAAATATAATGAACTCAGTCACTTTGTATTTGAAAACAAGAAAAATTCTGAATTTAATTGATGTTGCCTTGAAATGGATTATATTTTTTCTAATATGTGAATTGATTTGTGGGTTAAGCAAGCTATGGGAGATGATGTTATTAAAGTTCCAAAGCAGCTGAAAAAAAAGCTTCAAGACAGGAAAGTATTTTCAGGAAGCTTTTTACTACCACCAGTCAAACAAATATTAGTAGCGTTTATGGTGCAGTCTTTGGTATTTAATTTATAGTGTTCTTCTGAATATATTTTACGTTAAGCGCAACACTGTTTGATTCTACAATTAAAGCATCTGAGTAAGGTTGTATCTGGCAGACCAGTTAAGAAAAAAAAACTTTAGGCTCCAACCTTGACATGTAATTTTGTAACAGCCTGGAGAAATTGCTTAATTTTTGTGCCCAGGAGTGTTGTGTCCCAGCATGCTACAGCAAAGTTTAGGATTCATAGTATGTCTTTATTTAATGAATTGTTATGTAATTTTCCACGCAGTTTGCAGAATTGATTGTGTCAGTTTAGCTCTCTTTTATGAGCTGTTCTAAACAGAAGAGAAAATTATAATAATGGAGACAAAGAGGAAATTTAATAAATATTCATAATGTATGTAGAATTTGTTTTTATGCTAATCTATTATTTTTAACTGGACTGCCTTCCACGGTGTTCTCTTCCTGATAGTCTATTTCTTTCTTTTGTCTCACTTTCTATATAGGACTGGCTCATCACGTCTGTGATCTCCTAATAGAAACTGTGACTCTGTACTTGGAGACAGATGATAAAAGCAGCACCGAGACAGCAAATGCACTGCTTCTGTCCTTGCTTGACATTTTGCACTGCATGCTGATGTACACAGCAAACATCGTACGCCAGACTTTGCAGGTATGGAGTTTATTTCCTGGGGTCATCACCATCTTAAGCAATTTTTTAGATAACTTAATTCAAGAGTTTGCTCTCTGTGGTCTAAGTACTTGTCTTTTAATGGAAGTGGTACAAAAGTTCAGATGAATTTGCGTAACTGTTTTGGAGTGGTTTCATCATATGTTCCCCAGGTGATCCCCAGTAGCTGAAAGTATTTAGCAATCTTGATTTGAGAAGTGGACTCTGTTGAGTGACTTCATGTAGGTTTAAGCATGGTGTAGTGTGTATACCTTATATATATATAGAAAGTATAATTTCTTTACTGATATTGTTCATTGTCTTTTCAAAGACATTAAATATATAAGAGTTAAAGAAAGCAGTCAAACATCCCTGATGGAGAATGTCTTTCTTCTTATCCAAACACTAACCAGAAGAAACAGTTGTAATTTTTGCTGAAGTGAAGGTGGCTTACTTCCCTTTCTTGATTAATAGAAACACTCAGTTTTTTTGGTCTTCTTGACCTTCTTGGACTTCAGCATTCCAGGTCATGGTGGTGAGTCTCAGTGAGGGGATATATTATTACCTGGAGAAACAGCTCTTCAGATCTCTTTTCTTTTGAAATTCTTTCCAGAAAAAGGCTTTATCCTTTCAACTCATCAGTATCAACAGCGGAGCTGCAGCAATAGTGTCTCATCTCAGGGGACTTGCTCCTGTGTTCCCTTAATCAAACAAAAAATCTTAAGTGTTACACTTGGATGATGGTTTTAGGATTGAGCTTTAAATGAAACACAGTACAAAAAAGAAAAAATTTAAATGTGTTCTGTAGATAAAATGTTTACATTTTCCTCTAGCAGCTAGACTGCATAGAGTCATGGTCCAAAGCTGCTGCAAGATAATGAAGTCAAATGAAACAATCCTGCAAGCAGATCTTTCTGGCGTCTGAGGCAGGGATGGGTCATAAATTACGCTGTCTAGGATGCAGTGTGTTTTGATGAGGGGGGATGACAATGGTCAGAATTACAAGTAGTAACAGATCATATCACAGACTTTTGTCACTGAAGGATTTAATTATTCTTATTTAAAAAATAAGTTGTTATAATATAGTATTAATATTTTGGGATGCAAAGCAAGTCAGAAGGACAAAATTGGACATTATTGCTGAGAGTCCTAACTTTTCAGTCACCTTGATTTTCCTGGTTTGAGTTGCACTGAAAATTGTTCCTGGTAAAGGAGAAAAATAGTTGAAGATTACTATTAAAACAGCATGTCACATTGAAAGAGAATACAAATACATAAAACATTTATGGCTTTAGAGATATCTTTTGCATATACAGTTGATAGCATTTTGCTGAAGAAATGCTATCATGAAATATCTACCATGTAGGTCGGTATATTCAGCCTGTGCAGAATGGCCATGACAGCGTTAGTCCCTTTTGCTTTGTGCTTTTTGTTCCAGACACAGGGAGTGTAATTGCTCATTGGGAGCCCAGGAATACTTAACAAGAAAAGAGTGTACAAGTCTCTGTCAAACTTTGACCACCTAATGGACCTGATTTGTTTCTTGTACCGGAACAGTCACCAAGGCTGCTTTTTTTTTTTTTCTCATCTTATTAAGGCACAGAAATCTGGCACAGGAGGGGACACGCAGGCTGCTGAGGACCTTCTGCTTATCAATAAACCCCTGACGGACCTAATTAGCCTGCTCATTCAACTGGTGAGAATTTGCTTGTTTGTAAGCCTATGGAAATGTTGTTGAAGTTGGAATTATTCAACGGAATTCAAAGTGTTAGAACTTTGTTTGCTAGTTTTTCATTGTTTTATAAGCTCCCATCTAGTACAAAAGGAAGGACTAACAATTTTTAAGAAATTACAGGTCGTGGTGACTTGAAGGTTACAAGTGACATTGGATTAGGTCTGTCCCAAGCATATAAGTGGGACAAGGGACAGGCTGCAGCTTCTCAGTTGGGGTATGTACAGATAGCCAAATTTTATCCCCTTCTGATCACTGCATAGGGAAAGGATGCTATTCAACATTTGAAACGAGTACTGCTATCATTAGAAAAGTCAGCAAACTTAAAATTAGTTTGCAGTGAGTGATGACTTTTAATTTTATTTTCTTGATTTTGGGCCTTACAAGTTTTTCTCAGAAATATTTAAATATAGGTTTTCAGAAGTATCATGATATGAAAACCTGTGATTCTTTTACTAACTTTAGCACTGGCTGTCATCTTCTGATTTGGGGAAGGGTGTGATTCCTTTTTTATTAAGTTTTGGGTTTATACTTGTTTCTAAGTATTCCTTTGGATTTATTTTAACCAGCTATTGACAAAAGCTTTTTGGAAATCTTCACTTAATGACCTAAACCAAAGTGACTTAATTTCAGTTATATAATATTTCATCTTTATCAATTCTCTTAATTTATTTTCTATTAATGTTTTTGATCACTATATATGATAAATAGTAAGACATGAAGAGATGCAAATGTTCCTTTAAAGTGAAACTAGTCATAAATTTAAATGCCATTACCTCTCTAAAGAACAGAAAATTAGAGGCCAAGCTGAACTCAGCCTGTGCCACCTGGAAGGCTTTTATAAGTTTTTAATTAAAGGATAGGATAATTGTATAGCTAGTGTGTACTGGTTAGATTCTGACTTGCCCTCGTATTTTAGAAGCATGGCTGCAAGTTACCACTAGATTTTGCTTTGTTCTGTATTTGTACAGATTCTGGTATGTTTCAAATGCTTATTTAAAATCTGGTTTCAACATACAGGTAAAGAGTAAAGACCATTGGTGCTGCTTCCTTTTTTGAATTTTGTTAAAGGTTTTGTAGAAGTGAGGGATTTTTCTCTTGTAATTTGTATGTGGTGTTCTTTACATACCTGTGCTTGATTGGATGTGTGAAAGTTATTTCAGCTAGGTTTGTTTATATCCTTTACTCATTGCTGTATGAAACATTTCCTGTTAAGGTTGGAAGAGCTTGAACAATGGAATAATAATTTCAACATTTATCATCCACTTAAATGTTTAAAATGTTTTATGTTCTGATTTCTTTAAAAAGGAATAGATTCTACATGAAATCTAGTGGGTCTCTTGGTGCATACACTCCCTACCCCTCAGAAAGACTCTACCTAAGCTTAAGTTCTGCGGAGCTGCCAAGAGTAGTTCTCTGTTTTCACTGAGCTGGGTGGCTACAGGACACTTTCTTACTGTTTAGAGGCATCCAGCTCTTTATGAACTTTATTTCTGGAGATAATGGAGGTCTGAAGTTCTGAACTAACTATCACCACTTAAAGATATTGAGTTAAAATTATTTTCTCTGCCTTGCTATTTCTACCTATCTTACCTTATTTATAGTTTCTTACATCACTTTGAATAATTGCTTTCCCACATTGACATGTATGTCCCTCAAGCAGATGATTGTTCCATGCCCCATTGACTTGTCTAGTTATTTATTTTCCTGAAGTTCTACATGTTTATCTCTCTTCATAATCCCTCAAAGATCAATGTGAGTTAAACTTGAAAGACATCAAAACCTCAGAATCAGTTTTCCCTTCTGTGATTGTGATTTAGCCTATCACTTAGGGCATGGCAAAGCAAGTGTAGAAAACCAAGATTGCATGTCAATGAAACTTCAGGGTTTTTAAAAATGCAAAAGAAGAAATAATTACAAATTCTGTCGTGCAGCCAACACTACGAATGTGGAGAATTCAATATTTAATCCCACGGTCAATCTGCCCTTAATTGATCAATAAGAGGAAAATAAATTGAGCATTTAGTCTTCTGCTTGGCAGCTTTGTGTTTAAAAGATAATTACACTTAGCATTATTGTGTAGTGTTTCTCTGCTTGAATATAAATGTAATTTGATTATTATACTGAAACTTCCAGCAATTATAGAAGATATTTTATATCTTCTACTTTTTTGATGTACTATTATACAGGGAAGAAAAAATATTTACTTACTTTTTAAATCATTTGAGTGTAGATTTTCAGAAACCTTTCAGAAACTTTCAGAAACCTTCCAATACCTATAAAATCCAGTTTCATTTCTCTGTAGATCCTAGATTTAGATCTGAGGTGTAGATCTTCCAGTCTTTTATGTAGGCTGCTGGGAGAGAACTTTTCTTGTCTTCTGGTGGTAGGCTTCTTCATTATAGCATTACTGGTAAAATTTGCAGCTGATTGCTGTGCTCTGTATGACTTTTGAAAGACCAGTTAATCATGTGCAAACATGAAGAGGATGAACATGAAGCCTCAGTGCACATGGCTGAATGAGGTGATCTCCCCTGGGTGCTTTCTGTCTCTGCGTTGCACTGGCTCTAGAGCTGTGCCCTGACTTCACTTTCAGAGCACATGAAAGTATTTGCCGATGAATGATGAAAATGACTGCAGAGGAATGATAATCCTGGAGATTGTAGAACTTTATTTCATGTTTCTTAGAAATACAGACAGTCCTGTGGTCAGGGTGAAAAGACACATGTTCATTTCCTGTATTGTATTGTGTATTCTTAGTGTATGTGAAATGTTATCTGTGAATTGTGTTTGTTGTTTTTTAGGGTAGCTCTGTATTCTTCAAACAAACCCACAAAAATAACCCAAACAAAAACACACCAGAGGAAATAAGAATGTATTATCACAAGCACAGAATTTCAGAATGGGGATTAGGTTTCTCAGCAGTTAGGCTAGCTTAAAATGAACTGAAAATATAAGGTATTGTAAATATTTTCACTTAAGTAGGAGGATGACAATTTTGGCCTAAGCCAAAATATAGTATTTTTTTTTCATTTAAAACTGTGCTTATTTACTAATAAGAATGGCATAGTAAAGTTACCAGATTTAATAATGATGTTTTGCTTTTACGTTTTGTTTAAAGTTTGCAAAATCGTCTTCCCTATAGTCCCCAATGGTGCTTCCTTAACGGCACATTCCGTAATCATATTCCTGATCTAATGAACATCTATCTCTTCTTGTAATAAACTCTCTTTGTGCATAACCTCATTAATGCACTGAAATAGTGTCCCCTCTGGGTAATCCAGACAGTTTCACTGTGGCTCTCAAATTAGATGCTGTAGCAACTCCAACGGTGTGAAAACTGCCACTTCAGCTCAAGCGATCACACGGTTCTTGCAATGGTTTGCAATTCACGAACTCACTGCAGCTCCATTCAGAATGAAGGCATTTCTGACAACAGACTGAAGAAACAGAGATGTGTAAAAACAGGAAACTTCCTTCTCTTCACCACATCAACCTTAAAATGCACAGGGCACGGTCCATCTAGAAAGGAAGAGAAGTTGGATTTTATGTGATGAGCCTGTTTACAGGGAGTTGTAACATGGGCATAAAAATTAAGTAAAAAGTAATACAAAAAATCTTCATTGCACAACAGTCTTGTCATGAGGCACTATTGTAAAATTTTGAAGTGAAAAATAAGTCTACAGTTCAGAGTTAGAGAATGGCAAAAATTGTGACTTCAGCTGTTCAGTAATTTATTTTAAAGTGCTGGATTTTCTTCAAGCCGTATGCTAGTCCAGAATATTAACAATTGCAAGGAGGAGGAGTGCTAACCTTGCTACCTTGCTGAAGAGCTGAATTCATAACCCCCTCTAAGGCTGATACAGGAAAAAGAAAGGAAAGGCCACTGGAGTTTTTTCGTGTAATTATGAAATATTAAGGGGCAGATATTTTCTTAAAGAGTTAGAACTCTAGTTTTTCATGGGTTTCTCCTCTCCTGAAAGAAGAAAAACTTAAATAGCTGCTGTCATGAAAAACTGTAAATGCATTTGAAAGACTTGAAATATACTTCTTCATGTCAGATGGAATTGTTATTAGAAAAATAATCAGAACACTGTATCAGCTGATTAAGAGATGAACCATCCATCTGTATTCATTGTTGAGCAATGTCATTCTAGCTTTGCTGTTCTTATTAGATGTAAGATATTATTTACTTGAAAGCTGAATTTTCATTCCTTGGTTTTCTGTATTTTCAGAATGTCTTGGTTTTGGCTTGGACAGAGTTAACTTTCGTCGTAGTAGCTAGCGTGAGGATATGTTTTGGACTTGTGCTGAGAAGAAGGCTGATCAAATACTGTTATTATATTTTCAGTCATTGCTTTTGTTCATACCAATAATTTTCCTCAGATCCTCTACTCTTTATAACCATTAATGAAAGTGCTAACACTGACTGTCAGCTGTTGTTAAATTTCAGGTTACCAGTTTACAACATCTAGATCCCTACTTGTCAGCAGTGAAACTGCAAAATGGGGAGAGTTATAGAGAAAAATGCTGATATGGATGTACTTGCATAGGGATGGTGCTGAGAGTTTCTCTTCCACCTTAATTATTGACCAGTTAGACTGTAGGCCAAGGATTCTCATCCACTTCAGAGTAATTACACTCTTAAAAATTGTTCTCCTATTCACCCAAGACCCAAGCTGTTATTTTTTTATCCTGCAGTTTCCCAGGATGACAGCACCTTGCTTCCCAAGCTCTAGACAGCACTGAAGCTCCAACGATCTCTGGTGAAGGAGAGGAGCACAAGAGCCTGAAGTGTGACAGGCGATGGAGGACTTTGTTGGCATTTGTGGTTGACATACCTGTCTGCACTGGCCTAGTAACAAACTGTAGGTTAGAGTGCTGCTTTTAAAAGAGATAAGGGATATGTTAAAGTAGTTTAATTTTTTCTTCCTTTATCTAATAACATTCTGTTTTCAGTGAAGGAAATACAAGTCAGCTCAAAGCCCCCAGTGAGATCAGTGGATTTTTTTTTTTTTTTTACTTGATAAGGGTTGAAGATATAAAAGGAGCTATAAAGCTTGTTACTATTTGTTTTTACTCCTTTTTAGCCTTGCTATTTATGTTGATGATGTTATTAGATAATTATGGATGTTGGAAAGGAGACAATCAGATGACATTTAGATGGGAATGAAGAAAAACCATACAGCAAAACTGGGAAGAGGTAGCTGCTGTGGTCCTGTCACTTGCATAGCATTAGGTCAAATGGGATGTGATATGTCTTGGGGCTATGTACTCAGAGCTTACATCTCAGTTCAGTATGTGTTAAACAGCCAGCTCTATGAAGCTAATGGAAAACAGAATTGTATTTGCATGCAGATCCCTGGGGAACTGCTTCTTGAATATTTAAGGAGTATGTGTCTGATGATATGTTCCCAGATTGCTTTAAAGTAACTGTGTGGGTTTTCTTAAAATGAAAAAAACTTGGGAAGTTCATCCTTCAGATTAAATAAGTAATCATTGTTGAAATGGTTGGGCATAATAAATAAATGGTTGGGCAGGTTATATAAATTGTTTCCTTTTTATTGTCAGTAAGGATAGTCTGTTAACTGTACTTTAATCTAGCTTCTTTGTATTTAAATAGTATTTTTGGTATTAAAGATCTGAGTAGGAGTGAGTATACTTCTATACCTTATTGGTTAAGACCACCACTGGTATATTTTGTTCAGTTCATAGACTGTAAGGCCAGAAGAGGCTATTGTAATCATTTAGTATAGGATCTTAAATTACACAAGACATAGGACTTTCCTAAATTAATTCCTCATTTAAGTAAAGAGTTTTGTATTTTTTTAGAAGAAAGAAAAAAAAAAAACAAAACCGTGATACTCTCCATTACAGGCAATTTATATCTGTCTCAGTTCTAAGGAACTTGTCTCAGCAGTTAATCACTCTTGTTAATGAAAGAAAGAAAAAACGATCTCAAAATAGTATCTTCCTTGTAATCTGAATTGTTTTAGATAAAGTTTGGAGCCATCATCTCTTACCAGTCATTTTTCAGGTAAAGGAATTAACCTGTCCTCAGCCTACTTTTTCACGTGTAACTGAGAGAACATGATCAAGTGCTCTTTACCCCTCTCTATGATAAGCTATAGACATTGAATTCCTTCAGTCTTCTGCTGTTGTTTTCCAATCTGTCATCCTCTTGCCTATTCCCAAGAAGCCTCTAGGATTCTTTCACTCGCTTTTGTGAACTGTGCACTAAAACTGGGCATTGCATTCCTGTTGTCGTTCCAACAGTGCCAAATGCAGGCATAATATCGTATCTCTGCTTGTTATTTCCATATTGTGCTTTCAGGAAAGATATAAATCATTTGGATAGCAGTGTCATACTACCAGAAGCTCATTTAAAGATGGTTATTAGTCATGCCCCCACATTGTTTCCATAATTTTGCTTCCCAGTAAAGTTTTTCCATCCCATTGCTAGGCCCTGCTCCAATGTCTGCTCTTCAAAGGAGTGTAGAAAAGCTGGAATTCAGGAAAATATTTAAAGTCTGCAAAATGTACCTCCTAACAGAACTGCTTAAAATGCATTAAATAGACAGATAGCCTGTACTCTGCCTCAGCCAGAAGCCGTAGACTTGATTTAGAAATAATTAAATGAAGTTTTATGGTGTGCATTATGCAGAAGATTAGACATCATGACTATAATGATACTTTCTGTTGTTACTACTTCTATTTAAAGCAAAATATACTGCCCGAAAATAACAGAGTTGGGAGCAGCATTTTCAGTGCTCATATGATGTCTCTAGCGATAGGCTATTTCATAGAATCGTAGTGGAGACATTGTTATACTGCAGCTTAAGAACAGATATATTTTAATTATATTTTCATCACTTTATTAAGCTTAGTTTAATGTAGTTTTGAGTCAATTAACTAGAAATTATTATTTCCTGGCACAATGCAAATGTTCATACCCTTCCCAGTCCCCAGTCATATGCAAGTTTCCTGAAATTGGAATTTGATTTTTGTTTGTTCATTTTTTTGTTCATTTTTAGCTTCCCAGTGAAGATACTGAAATATATGAGAGTGCCTCGCAGTGCTTATCGTTGCTGGTCCAGCTGTATGGAGGGAACAGTCAGGAGAGCATGTCTCCAGAAAACATGGACAGCTTTGCTGAAGTGCTGAACTCCAAAAAAGATACACGACAACTGAAGCTGCTGTTGAGAATTGTAAAGAGACTGGTGAGTTGGCTTCTGAATGTTTTAAAAGTATATTTGTTTCTTTTATATCACTGGATAATTTTTTGGCTGTTTTTTTCCCTCTTAAAGTAAAAAAAAGACTTTTCAAAAGAAAATATGTGAAGTTAAACTTCATGTCTTTAAATGTCAGTTAACCTCTCTGGAGAAGATAGCCTTCTACACTTAAAACCTCTTACAAAATGATGGCTGGATTTCTCCTATTTCAGTTAACTGTTCAGCTGTTTAAATAACTCATGTTATTCATATATTTGTTTAGTACTTCAGCTTTCTGAAGTATTAGAACAATTTTCTGAATGCCTTTGGAAAGAACTAACCTTGTAACATTAAATAACTGTTCAGAAACACGGTACTTGATTTCCCCGTAAATAAAATGCCATTTTGTACTTGACATTGATTTGTGCGTAGGCTGTTGACTCCTTGTTCTCACCGAGCGATAGGGACCACTTCTGCTGGAGTGGTTGTCATGCAAAATGCCGATCAGTAGGAATCATGGTGCAGGGACTCAGGCTGGTGATGTTATTGACGAGTTGGTGTTTCAGTTTTGTCATGCTCTGACATGGTGGCATGACAGCAGTCTTGTGTCTTTCAGGTAGCTTTGGTGGAAAACCTTCTGTATCTGTAATGTTCTATCAGATAATAGCATGGTTTTGATCTTGAAGTGTCTTGATAAGAAGCTTTGCCTGCATTGTCACCTTGCGTTGGTTGATTACTTCACCCTTTACTCTCCAACAGCGAGAGTTTTCCATTAAAAGAGGGTCGCTTCCCCAGTGGAAGAGGCAAAAGACACTTGAATTTTGCAAGTGCTGTGCTAGCTACTAGAGTAAGGCCATCATCAACGGCACCAGGAGCCATCCTACTTAGAGTTAAGAGGAAGCAACCCTTTTTGGAGAGCTTTCAGAGCTGTTCTTGTCCTCTTTCTCCTGCCTGCTGTATTTACATCACAGGAGAGTAAACACCATACCCTTCTTCCCAGTTGTGCTCAGTCCTATCTCTCCCTAAAAGAAGCACAAATATATAAAAATAAAATTGAACTCATGTTTAAAATTCAGAATTTCTCTTGTTCTTGACAACAGTTATTGTGCTGCCTAGAACTGGTTTTGCTTTTCCCCAAAAGTAAAGAGAGAAGAGAGGCAATAAAGTGCGAGAAAAGAGAAATAATGCTGCAATGTACATATCTAGATTATTTGATTTTAGCGTAGCTGCAGACTTGTTTCCTTTCCCTCCATTTTGAAGACTGTGATACAAAAGCTGCCCTAGCGTGCAGGGTATTTAACACAGAAACTTCGGCTGATTATCTCAAGAGAACAAAGCTATGCTATCAACTTCTGAATCTTGCAAGTTCCTGTACTTTTAGATCTCTCCCTTCTACAACAGTGATACTAGTACTTGTTATTTATAGTATCAGGCATAGATTTTCTGTAATTATTTTAATGAGATCATAGGATTTCTTTTGAAAGCAGGGTTCATAGATAATTTGACAGGTTATTTAATAAATCTTACATTATTTCTCTAAACCTTAAAAAGTCCTGTTCCGATGAGATAATTATCTTGTCAAAATTGTCATAATCACAAAAGACACTGAAATATAATCATACCTATTTAAGAAAGATTCAGTCCACATCAACTGTTCATGCTGAATTTGGAAGCCTAGAGCAGTGGCTTTCTTTCTTTCTTTTTTTTTTTTTTTTTTTTTTTTTTTTTTTTTTTTTAATACTGGAGCCGTATTTTAATAGAAGGATGATTTAAGTGTACCAATTTCCATCCTTGACAATCAGTGCTTGTCTAGAGCATCTTTCCAGTCTGTGGTCGCATAACTTTGTTGTTACGGGCATGGGTATTGCTTATATAAGACAGGAATATATAAAAATAATTCAATGTGTTTATGCTATAGGTGCCTTTAGAACATGTATTTCTGGAAATAAGGAAAAGGCATAGCAGTGTGACCAGTTAATCTGTATCCAGGTGTTTCGTATGACTCCCATGAGTCAATGGAGACGGGTGTCTCAGTTTCGGTCATCAGTTTAAAGCACGTCATGTAATCACTGTGGGATTACAACTGGCTGCTGAAAAATAAGATGTTTCAGCTTTCAAAAGAAGAGAAGACCCCCTATATTCCATCTAGTAATAAGGAAAAAATTCTCTGAGAAAAATGAATAAGCATCAAGCTTTAACAGGCGATTCTGTGCTCACGGTGGAGAGGGAACTTGTGTTCTGTGACTTTTACCTTAAGTACTTGTCAGAAAGTATATTTAAATTTTACCTAAATCATGCTTTTTTTTCCTTCCGATCGTCTTTCTAGAACCTCCCTTTCACTAATTTGCATATCTTGGCTGTCAAAAAGTTGTTCATCCTTTTATTTGTGAGCTGCTAAGACATTTAGAATGTCACCTGCATGTCAGGTACCCTGTGGGGGATTTCTCAAATTGTATTAAGCTGCAGAGTAAAGATGTTAATGCTCAAATGATGATACTTGAGCTGTGGCAAAGGTCCATCACTTTCATTAATTTAATTGTAGGACTGTTGAACGCTAATTTGCTCTCCCTGACGGTTTGGGCCACAGCTACGGCATCTCCATGTACTTGCAGGCAGATTTACTGTCCTGTTTCCAGTAACCAAAGCCTGGCAAACCACTGGTCACTGTGTCTAAAATATCACTCAAGCCATGGGTCCCGAAGGATTTCTGTCATGTAGATTAAAACTCAGGTTGATAGAGTTGATATACAGAGATGTGCTGAGTTCACATCTTTTGAATTGACAGTTGTGTGTTTGTATATTAAAATATGCATATATATATTTTTACTGGGATGGTTACCAGATTAGGTTCTCATATTGGTCACTGATGGTGCATGATGGGGAAAGACATTTAGAGCTTGAAGAGATGTACAGTCTGGGCAGCACAAATGTTTGATTTAGGGTGGCAATTCTGCAATCCCTCTCCGAGTCGAATGGCTTGCTGGAGATTTGCTCCTGCAAGCACATCTGCAGGGAGCTTCCCTCAAAGAAGGTGAAGCAAAATCCCAGGAGATTTTTCAGATAGATTCTCTTTTACAGCGTCAGCTCAGAGTTCAACACCACAAGGAGGTGCTTGTGCCGCAGGTTAGCTGGAGAAAAACTTATGCAGCTTTCTCCTAGCCTGAGTCTTTGAAGCATGCCTGTAATTAATTTCATTAATGCCTAAGGTAATCCATAAGATTCTGTTGCTCTAAGGAATAACTTTATAACAGAGATGCTTGTTAGGTTGTGAATACGATATTTGTGGGTTGCTGACATGTATAGGTATACTCACTGTAAATGCACATGCTGTTATATATGTTCTCCTTAAATGACATATCTTTTTAAAATCCAGATGACCCTTATATGAACAATTTCTGTCCTTCATTACTGTTAGTCTCTTATTTTCAGGTTGTCACCAAGCCTGCATCCCTTCTCTACAGGCCATCTTCTGCTGGCTTCAGTCTAACAGAGTGATGTCCTTGGTTAGGGTGAAGCATATAATTAGACACAAACAACTTCAGATTCCCCCCAGGAAGAAAAAGCTAATCAGCACTTCCAGGCCCTGCAAATCCCGATACATGGAAAGAAAGGGGGGAGGGGGAATTGCCTCATCCTCAGGGGCAGCCGGGGAGCGGAGGTCTCTCCTCCTCCTCCACTTCTGGGTTTTCATCTATTTGCAAAGTAAGCTGTTAAGTATAGCTTGTTGAATTTGCATATGGTTTGACTGAAATAAAATCTAATGACACGCAATGCAATGTCCCTGATGAATATCAGCAGTCAACAGGGATAGTTGTGAGTTGGGATTGCTGAGCCAGGCCCTTCCCTTTGGTCAAGAAGCAATATATTGAGTTTACAGGGAAGAGTTAAGAAAAACTGGTTTAAATTACTCAGAAGGTGAATGCAGCTGATCACAGCAACTCTAATACAATTTAAACAACAATTAAACAGTGATTTAAAGAGAGCTAGTATAGTGTAATTTAAACAAATTCAGCATTCAGCGGGCATGGTTCTCTTGTGGCACAGCCCCTGTGCTGTACTTCTGTTGTTTACTGAACAGAGAATTGAGTCAATATTGGTTAATTTATCTCAGTAATTTGGAATTTTTTTAAAGAAAATCTCACTTAAGCTGTATTTGGAACTTTGTGTCCAGTTTGTAATCTCCTATGGGGTCTACCAAATTCTCATGGAAAGGAAATATTGTACTTGCATCATTAAACCCTGATGGAATTTTTTTTAAGCTTAGTAAATCATGTGCAGCAGCACTAAGAAGGAAAACATTTCGTCAATGAAAGTGATTTTTGAATAGGTGAAACTTAGTAATATCCCAGTTTGTTCTCAGGCATTCTACAAGCAATACCACATCCTAAAATGTGGCTTATTAAGTTTAGAATTATTTACTTGATATTAAGAATCAATTTTTCAAAAAGCACTTTTTTTGAAATACTGTATGAAAATGTTATTTGTACGTCCAGTAATACTTAGGATATCCAGATGTGAGAAGGGATACTGTAGTTGATTATCATTTGGGATCCCATGGCATTCTTTATGGTAGTGTACGTGGTTAATTTTAACTTGACTAATTACATTATGTGTATTGACATCCAGGACACAAATTTTCACTGTATAGGTCTGATAAGATTTTTCATTTTTCATCTGAAATGGTTAGACACTGTTTCACCTTAGAGGCATGTGCATGTGTATGATCTGGGTGCCTGGCTTATATAGCTTGTGAAAGGCTAAATTCGTGCTCATTTATACTTTGTGTAACTTGTGGCGTGTTTTCAGGATGCTGAGAAGTAGTACAATATGTTAGCCCTGTCTTTAACTTTCTCCTTTTTTGACATGTTCATCCTATGGTTTTTGCTGGAGGAGACGGAAGGATATTTTGGTTATTTAGATTTACACACGTGGTTAGAGTGTGGAAAGCATTTTAATCAGCCTTTTCTGTTTCTGATTAGCCTTCCTCTTCATTTACCTCTTTGAATTTT